TTTTTTTAAAACTTTCTTTTTATTTATTCTTTGTGTACTTCACATCATGCATCTTGATCCCATTCATTGTCCCATCTTTTCATATTCACCCTCTGCTCTTGCAAACCCTGCCCAATAAAATAAAATTTTAGAGAAAAAAATGAAAAAAAGGGGGGAAGGAAAATCTTGTCATGGAAGCTGTAGTGAGGAAAAGTGAGTCATGCAGTAAACCCTTTGTCTACGTATCTTTTCTTGCAAATGCTTGTTGTAAGGAATCATTGATCAGGTTTGAGACCTCTGGTTTCTATTACAATATCAAAGCTGGGCTCTCACTGAGGCCCCTCTTGAATATCCTGTTGTTGCCCTGTGTTGTGCAGATCCCACAGATTTGGGTCTGCAGGACTGGCCCTTTCACATTCTCTAACAAACCACAGATATGTTGGGTGTTGGGATGGGCCAATTCTGAGTCTGGGCAGTTGGAGGGTTGGTCAGCCCACCAGCTCTTCTCCATCCTCACCACCAGTGTGAGTTCTCCAGCATTGGCCCAGGACAGCTCTCTCACCTGCCCAACTGGTTGGTGCAGAGCAGTTGCTGGAGTCCTGATGCTGGCCATGGCTAGAATCCCTGGCTGCATTTGACCTCAGGGCACAGGGTGGAACTGTTGCTGGAGTCCTCTCCTGGGCTGGGGTTCAAAAGAATCTATTATAGAGCTATAGTCCTGAAAACAGCTTGGTATTGGCAGAAAAACAGAAAACCCTGATATTAACCCACACACGTATGAACATCTGATCTTTGACAAAGAAGCTAAAAATATACAATGGAATAAAGAAAGCATCTTCAACAAATGGTGCTGGCATAAGTGGAGGCTGGCATGTAGAAGAATGCGGATTGATTGATGTTTATTGCCATGCACAAAACTTAAGTCCAAATGGATCAAAGACCTCAACATAAATCCAGCCACACTGAACCTCTTAGAAGAGAAAGTGGGTGGTACCCTTGAATGAATTGGTACAAGAGGCAGCTTCTTGAACATAACACCAGTAGCACAGACAGTGAGATCAACAATTAATAAATGGGACCTCCTGAAACTGAGAAGCTTCTGTAAGGCAAAGGATACAGTCAGCAAGACAAAAAGGCAGCCCACAGAATGGGAAAATATTTTCATTAACCCCACATCTGACAGAGGGCTGATCTCCAAAATTTACAAAGAACTCAAGAAGCAAGTCTCCAAAACACCAAAGGATTCAATTAAAAAGTGGGCTACAGAACTAAATAGAGAAGTTTCAATCGAGGAGTCTAAAATGGCTGAGAGGCACTTGAGAAAGTGCTCAACATCCTTAGCCATCCGGAAATGCAAATCAAAACAACTCTGAGATAACATCTCACTCCTGTCAGAATGGCTGAAATCAAAAACACCAATGACAATTTATGCTGGCAAGGATGTGGTAAAAGGGGAACACTCCTCCATTGCTGGTGGGAGTGCCAACTGGTTCAGCCACTTTGGAAATCAGTGTGGAGATTCCTCATGAAAATGGGAATAAACCTATCACAAGACCCAGCAACTCCACTCTTAGGCATATATCCAAAAGATGCCCATTCATACAACAAGGATGTCTGTTCCACTATGTTCATAGCAGCATTTTTTGTAATATCCAGAACTTGGAAGCAACCTAGATGTCCCTCAACCGAAGAGTGGATAGAGAAAATGTGGTACATTTACACAATGGAGTACTATTCACCAGAAAAAAACAATGGAATCCTGAGATTTGCAGGCAAATGGATGACACTAGAAGAAACCATCCTGAGCGAGGTAACACAGTCACAAAAAGAGAAACATGGCATTTACTCTCTCATATATGGATTTTAGATGTAGATCTGGGGAGTGCCAGCCTACAATCCCATGGCCAGAGAGTCTGGGAAACAGAAACTGCATTCAGTGGCTGAGGGAAGAAGAGGCAGACTCCCTTGGTTAAGTACTGAGCTGAACTCAAGAAAGCCAGTAACAGAGAGGGAGGACTGATGACCAAAGGGATTATGATTGGGCTGGTTTAACCCCCAGAAACAGCTGACCTGACAAAGGTTAACTCTTGAATCCCAGGCATCAGCCTGGGAATCCAGCATGGGACTGATCAAGACCCCCTGAATGTGGGTGTCAGTGAGGAGGCCTAGGTAATCTATTGAGCCTTGGGCAGTAGATCAGTATTCATTCCGACTGTTCACATGGACTTTGGACTTCCATCCAACAATGAGAGATGCACTCTCACCCTGAACTCTTGTGGGGAGTGTCTAGGCCCTGCCCTGGATGAAATGACAGTCTATGGACACCCCCATGGAGGGCCTCACCCTCCCTGGGGAAATGAGGGGATAATCGGGGGGGGGGGCTGAGAGGAGGGCACGGGAGGAGGGGAGGGAAAGGGAGAGGGACCTGGAACTGACTTGTGAAGCAACTGTGTTTCTAATCTGAATTTAAACTTAAAAATAAATAATAAAAAAAACATAAAAAAGAAAAACAACTGAGATGATCCATATAAAATGCCTAGTATTGTGCCAGACACATAGTGAGCATTTAATAAATAGCTATTATAGAAAAAAAAGAATCTATTTTCAATAAAAGGAAAAAACTATAAATTCTTCATCAGAGACTTTGCAAATAATCTTAGGCACTCACCAGTAACGGACAGTTTTTCTCTGGTTAGTTTTTTTTTCAGGCCAATTTTTGTTATTAAGTGAAGTCATGATTGTCTCAAAGTTCTTTTTTCTTAAAATGACTTCTTTGATAGTTTGAGCTTTACAAGCTGTTGTGATTATTTACACCTCTCCTCCAACTCTCTTCAAATCTATCCCTCCCATACCGACTCAGCTTTGTGTTTTCATTTAAAACAAACAAAACCATCAAAATCATTTTCTGGTGCCCAAATATTCTTAGATGCATCTTCTTCCACTAGATGTGTGTTCTTCCACTGGAGACTGGTAGACTCATCAGGGGATACAGTTTTAGAGAAATCTGTATCAATATTTGCTGCTTGGAAAGGTTAGTTTCTCATTGAAGAAGTTTGTTTTTGATTGTAGTTTTTGCAACCTCCTTGATTTGTGCCTGCCTTAACACTCTTCATCACTAGATGGTGACCTACATCTAAGTTTGCGATGAATTTATCTGAATTTGTGGTCTTAGTATATTCGTTTTGTGTCTGATGTAAGATTCTAGCCTGCTACTGCTGATAGGGCTTATCTATCTTGCTATGTCGAGCAACCAAAAGCAAGATCAAACCAGATAAAAATTCCAACATGGACAGAAGAGAAACTTCCAAGGTCTCATCTCCAGTCTAGCAGTTATTTAAAACAGATAGCTGCTGGGGAGGCTACTTGTAGCTTTCCCATGTCCCAATGGATAACCCAATACTCATGTGCACATGGTCATCACTAATTGGACTCAGTGGGTTACTATAAAGAGAATGTGGATTTACAAGGTCCCTGTGTTAGAGGAAGCACTGGGGAAGTTGGAAGGATGTAATATGGATAGATATGATTCAGATACATTGTAGACATGTGTGAACCTTTTAAAAATAAAATTTAAGGAAACTGACACTTCATAGCCCCAGTCATTGTGTAACATATGTATTTTAGGTAGCAGAGATACGATATTTTGGTGCAAGTTTTATGAAAATATAATATTATTGGATCAGTTCATCTTTGATAAATTGTTTCTACTTATATCAACATTTAGATAGGGTTTGACTGTTTCATTATACCTTTTAGTGAATGTGATTACTTATTGTAATTCTATCAGAAGATTCACAAATTTAAATTTAAATTGCTGTATTATAATTGACCTACTTTTTCTATGTGCATTGATCTTTTTACTCTAGTAATATTCTTCCATCAGAAACTTGCTTTGACTAATATTAAAGCAGTTGCTGAAGTTTCTCTTAATATATGTTACTATCATGTGTGGTTTTCATTTTTTTGAGATGGAACTCCTGGTGGACACTGCTCATATAGCCAAGACCCTAAGACTAGACTGACCAAGAACCTAGGGGAAACCAAATACTACCATTTTACTAAAAGAATATAGTGATAAAATGACTCCTAATAACATGCTATACTCATAGATCAGTGTCTTGCTCAGCCATCATTAGAAAAGTTTCTTTCCACAGTAGATAGGAACGAATACTGAGGTTCACAACTGGACATTGTGCATTGAATAATTGACCTTGGAATATTCAGTCCTAACTGGATGTCTCTTTCTGATCTCTGCCCTCATGGCTCAGGGAAGTATGGAGAAGAGGATGCATAAAGATTATAGGAGCCATCTGGAAGAGCAGACACAAGGAAACAAGACCATATAGATACTGAAGGACTGATGCACATATGGAAAAACTGTAGTTCTTGATTTTCTTAAAATAATAAACAATAATTCAGGAGACAACTTTAGTTATTGAAATTCAGATGATTCGAGAAAGCATTGCATTTGATTATACAACAAGTTTATTTTTATTAAGGTAATAAAGTCAACACCAAACAATGTCTACTTGTATTTCTTTTGCAGTTTATAATTTTTGTTTTATCCTTCCACAATTTATTTGCTGTTTAATGCTATTAGAGAAAGTTGGAATAAGGTAAAGGCAGTGTGGTTGCCTTTTTAAAAATGGATGAATAAAATGTGGGATGTGATAAGATAAAGAATACATTTTATATGTTGTTGGAATAATATTTAAGTGACTTTTACAAAAAGTTAGGTATGAGCTTAATAAATACATTTATGTTCTTTTTCATATTTACTAAAGGTATATAAAAGCCAATTCATTAATTTTGTCAGGAAGAAGAGTCAGCTTTTGAAAAAATTCACAAATAATTTAGTGTTCTATATGATTAAAATGTTTAGCCTCTAGAATTATATTAAGCCTATTACATATCAAAATACTGAAACTAACTGTAAATTCAAATTAAATACCTAAACTTGTATCCTCTATTAATCTTATTAAAATGTCAATTTAAAATATTTATAGAGAATTTTCTGGGTTTTAAGTATTTACCTTGTGATTCATGAAATAGCTTTTAAATCTCTTCAGAGCAGTTTTTATTTCTTTATTTCTTAGTGTATAAATGGCTGGATTTAGGAGAGGTGTAACAACAGAGTAAAACACAGCAAGAAATTTGTCTAACCAGGTGATATTGAGGGGCCACACATAGATGAAAATGCAGGGCACAAAAAGGAGCATCACCACTGTGATGTGGGCACTGCAGGTGGAAAGAGCCTTAGAAGCACCAGCTTTGGCGCTCTGGCGAACAGTGATAAGGATGTATGTGTAGGAAATGAGCAACAGAATGAAACAGGTTACAACCACAACACCACAGTCAGCATTCATTAGAATATCCAAATCATGGGAATCTGTGCAGGCTAGCTTGATTACCAGTGGCATGTCACAGAAGAAGCTGTCAATTTCCAGTGGGCCACAGAGAGGCAGCTGCAGAACTGCCACAAGCTGACTCATGGCATGCACAAAGCCAATAGTCCAGGAAGTCAAGACGAGCCCCGTGCATCTTTTCAGGTTCATAATGGTGAAGTAGTGGAGTGGTTTGCAGATGGCCACATAGCGGTCATAAGCCATTACCAGCAATAACACCATCTCTCCTGCAGCAATGCAATGGGCAAAGAAGACCTGGGACATGCAGCCCTCAAAGGAAATGGTTTTGCGTTTCCTGAGAAAGTCTGTGATCATCTTTGGCGTGGTGACTGAGGAAAGCCATATATCGACAAAGGACAGGTTGGCCAGTAAGAAGTACATAGGAGAATGGAGATGGTGATCAATGGTTATTAAGATCATGATGGCAATATTTCCCAACATAATGAATAGATAAAATATCAAAAATATCACAAACAGTAAGACCTGAAGATTCTGTGATTGGGTAAGTCCCCGGAGCATGAATTCTGATACAGAGGACTGGTTGCTTCCATCCATTTTATCCTCAGAAACAACCTGCAGAGAGGGGTGTGTAAGAAGGCTTAGACTGCAGGGTTTGACATTCACACTGAGGCTTCATGTCTGTGCATCAAACAAATGTAAAGAGAAGTCTTTGCCAAATATGCTATCCAAAGTGAAAGCTCATGAGACATGATTAACTTTAGCAGAAGCAGAGCATGAGACTAATTCAAATGAACAATGGTTCATAAATTTTCTCTGTATGAGGGCAGTGAGCAACACAGGACAGCAAGCTCAGAAGGTGCTAATAATTATATTCTCTCTTTGAGGGATATTTTACCCACTAGTTCAGTTTAAACAATATCTGAATGTGGAACCAACAGTTATTCCACTACTCTATAAAAACTAACTCATAACCTCAGGGAAATGGTGATAAATTTTACAGAATTTCAATGCACAGGAAGTTCTACAGTCTTAATATTCTTATCACTACCGATAGTGATTCTTTTAAGATACAATGGAGTTTCTCTTAAAATACTTCATATTACTAAATATTATCTTACTCCTCTGAAGGAAATGCTATGATAATCATTTTGAGAGAACCTATAGAACACTATGTAGAATACTTGAGTACATGTTGATTGGGATGTGAACATCATATTCATACTTAATATCAATTAAAACATATCAGGGAATTTATTTGGTCAACTAGAGTCACTAAAAATATTGTCAGTGAAGTTGAATGTAGAAATGGTTTAGCCAAGCAGAAGGACTATTCAGATTCAAAGTTAAACTTTACATATGGTTTAATCTTATAATTAGAATGTATTTATTTAAAATCATATCATAGGTAGTAATGAATCACTAAACTGTACAGTATTAGTGACTTTTATTGTAAACTATGTATTCAACTCCTAAAAGCCTGTCATCTATGTATGTATGCATGTATGTATGTATATATGTATGTATCAATCTATCTATCTATCTATCTATCTATCTATCTGTTATCTATCATCTATCTATCCATCTCTCTATTATCTGTCTGTATGTATATCGTCATCATCATCTATTATCATTATCTATCATTTATTTATCTTCAATTTGTATCATTTATCTGTTGATCACTTATGTTACCTGAAAGATGAGGATATATTGCATATACATCTAAATAACATGAGTCTTTAACTGTTAGTCTTGTATTAATGTCAGGTCAAACATCCAGTGAAAACTAATTATGTACATTCAAGGACAACAGTGTCCATACTGACAGATAATATTAACAATACTCAAACTGCATGGGGGGGAGGATATTTACAATTTTTTTCTTACTTCACTAATTACTTGGGTATTCTCTTCAAATTGAGTGTCTTACATATTGTAACCCTTTTCAATAACTTGGGTGGGTAAGTGAAGAAGTTGACCAGGAGAACATTCCCATCATCATGCATTATTTTACCTTCCCTTTTACTGAGGACAAAACTAATGAACTAAGGAGCAAAGGAAAGAAATCAGACAAAACACTTGCTGTGCAAAAGGTGCATGTTAGACAATCTTTTAAGTTGAAAAGAAATCTATTTTCTATAACAGAGGTTCACCAGTTTTCTAAGGAAAAGATTCTAATATTACGGCAAACATGTTAGTGGTCCTTGTAAAGGCTGAATAAACTGAATTTGCCTCTAACTTTGTTTTATATCAGTATGAAATTTACGGTATTTTCAAAATATAATTTTGTACTTTATAGAATAGTTTATGATAATAGTAGTAAAGTTACACACAATAAACTTGGGCAGGCTAGGCTCAGGAGGCAGGTTAGAAGCAGGGCATAGGGGGATGTAATTAAAGAGATGTCCTGATGAGGGGTCGTTTGGAGATTAGGGAGAAACCAGGTTGGTGCCAGGGAAACTCCAAGGAATCCACAAGAATGATTCCAGCTAAGACTCATAGCAATCGTGGGTACCTGAACTGGTCATCTACTGTACTCAGATTGGTGACTACCCTGATTGTTATCAGAGAACTTTTATCCAGTACCTGATGGAAGCAGATGCAGAGATCCATAGCCAAGCACTGTGCTGAGCTAGGGGAACCCTGCTGAAGAAAGGGAAGAAGGGAGGAAGGACTGTACAAGCTAGGGACGTCAGAATCATCACAAGGGAACTCACTGAAACAACTAACCAGGGCTCATAGGAACTCACAGAGCCTGACCAACAGCTAGGGAACCTGCATTGACTGACCTAGTAACCACGATATATAGACACAAATGACATTCAGGAATGTGATAACTATCTCACTCTTCATGTCTTCTTCCCAGAAAAGCTACATAAAAATTTCCATTAAAACATCTTTAGAATTCTTGGTTTTGATATGGTTGGGATTCTTCTAGAAAATGCTAATTATTGGTTTTACATTTAATAATATTAAAGATTGTCAAATGGAGACTCTTTTGTGTTACTCCTTTATGAATATTGAAATGTTTTCATGTTGGAGCTGAAGAGATTGTTCAGTGGTCAAGAACACTGACTTCTCCTACAGATGACCTGAGTTCAGTCCCCAGCACCCATATGATGTCTCACAACTGACTGTAACTGTAACCATCTGTAACTTGCATGGGGATATGATGTGTTCTTATATACACACAGTACACAGACTTTATATAGGCAAAACACTCACATAAAATTAAAAAAATTACAAAATACATTCCTTCCCTTGTGGGATTAGTGTTCTTCCAGAAAGTTTATATATAAAACTATATAATAGTCTCAACATTTGTACCTTTGTAAGCAATTAAGCATATATTAGTACTTAGTAAAGCAGATTCTGTGTGGTGTACTCTGATGTAGTACCAAGGATATTCCAGGAGCTCATCGGTGTCTTTATATTTGTCATATTCCTTTTCATTTTTGCAATACCCAAGTGTCACACTACTTCTTACTAGATTGGTGATCCTTTTTACATTTCCCTCTATGCTGAAAGCTATCCTAAACACAAAGTATATCTAGTGTAAGAGGACTCTATCCTGTTAACTGGTAGAGGACTCTGAAGAAGAAGAGCTGGCAGCCATTCCTGTGGTATAGCAGGTAAATAACAATGATCTGATGAAGTCTTAAGCACACTTCCGGGACCACACTTTGTCTTGTGTGGACGAATGATAATCCACAGAATTCTAGCTGGAATAGGATATGTTGTGAAACCCATGTATTATTTTCTAAAATGAGACAAAGCAAAGAAACATTTCCCATTCCCCATCATACTGCATGTTGGTAAAACAGATGCACAAATGTATTTTCAGAGTTGTCAAAGAGAAGAGAATCAGGGAGACAACAGTTTACCAGATTCGATATTTTCTTTTAGATTAATTTTCTTCCTCTCCGATGTGCACTTGTGAAGATACCCATGTTGTTTAAGGTTGCTGTCTAGAAATCACTATTCTTTGACCTGGTTTTTATTCACCACCTGAATTTGTCCCAAGGTAAACTCATCTAGCCTACATTCTGAGAAAAGAGAACCCTGGAAGTAATTATCTCTGACATCTCTTGGGGATTTATTTGTTAGAGTGATAACCAGTGTTGCATATTTATTAAATATAACAGAGATACAAGCAGAAATTATAAATAGATACCAAATTTAAAATTAGTTAAGTATTATGAATTTCTCCCTTGACAAGTAACTGCAATAAATGCCGCCACAGTGATACCTTATTAATATTTGATCTGCTACTCTATGTAGCCAAAGTTCATAAAAATTTTGCTCCCAGTTCTAAGCATGTAATGTGTGGCCTATATGATCATAAAAAAGTGGTTCTCTAATACATGATGAAAGTTGTCTGAACCAGACAGAAAATGATGACCATATAGAAATTGTATTCAGTTTGTTCTTTGATCATTTGTTATGTTGGAGGATATAAACTTTATTTTTCAAATTATTAAGAACTATGGAGGCTTAAAAGAGGACATTAACGTGAATTTCAAACACATTCATTTTGATTCAGACTGACTAGGAGAAGACCCACATGCTCACCCAGTGCTCTCCTCCTTGGCAGGGAAAAGAAAACATGGGCCTGTCCAGTGCCTAGCAGTGCCTAGCAGTCGGGCACTATTATGGTGAGCAAATATGTATGGCGGTGTATGAAAGGGAGAGAGAGAGAGAGAGAGAGAGAGAGAGAGAGAGAGAGAGAGAGAGAGAGAGAGAGAGAGAGAATGGTTTATGTCCTGTTGAGACAGGCAGATATGACGAGGTGAAGATGATGAGTAGTGGGCTGAAGTCAGTGGACTTATTGCCATCTGGACATGGTGATGCCCAGGCCTGGGCAGCTGCCAAGGTCTGTGTCTCGACACATGGCCCTGCTGCAGCCACGGTCTGTGTTGTTTGTGGCTCCTATTTCCACCAGTGGCCCAGATGATAGGACTGCACAGTGTTGGCTCAGGCCTTTATGGGCTGCAGCACTAGGGCGAACTGGTCCTGCCCCTTAAGTGGGCAACAGGACAGAGCTGAAGCTGTTGGCAGGGGACAAGGGCAATCTGGCCCTGAGGGAATGAGGGTGGGAGAACTGGCCCTTCCCCTATCCTCTGCCATATGGTGGTATGGTATGGTTGAGGGAATGATGCCCCTTCTCTCCTGAGCTCACCAACTTTAGCGTTAAGGACAGCGGTCCTGCACCTAACCTGGACAGCACATCAGAGCAGATCCTGCTGACACAGGCCTGGGTGACCAGATCCAGAGAACATATGGGAGATTTTGTGAGTGAGAGCTCTCCACTTCCCCTACAAGAGTGAGAGAGCTGGTCCTGCCTCTCCCAAGAAGCAACACTCTGGAGAGTAGGCCCTGCATCTCACCTGGGCAGCACAGTAGAGTTACCCTGGTGGTGCAGGTATGAGTGAGCTGGCCCAGAGGGTAGAAGAGCAGGGGGAACTGGACCTGACCCTTGCTGCTTCCTGGATAGGATGAGCTAGCTGGGGTGATACTGGAGAGCTCGCCTTGATGGTCAGGATGAGGGAGTGCTGGTGGACTGACCAACCCAGCAGCTACCCAGGCTCGGAACCAGG